CAACAGAGTGAAGAAGAAATCCACAATGTGGGAAAAAATGTTTGCCAGCTGTTCCCCAGACGAAGGATTACTATCAAGAGCACACAAAGAACTTAAAAAAAAATCAGACCTCCCAAATTTAAAGACCCAATCCAAAAAGGCTGAGATGAATACACACTTCTAAGATGAAGAAATGCAAACAGCAAATAAATATGAAAAATGTTCACCATCACTGGTCATTCAAGAGATGCAAATTAAAACACCACTGAGATTTCATCTCACCCTGGAGAGAATGGCTATCATCAAGATATGAACCAATAACAAATGTTGGCAGAGCTGTGGGGAAAATAAACCCTTCTCCACTACCATTGGTGGTAGTGTAGACGGTGTAACCATAGTGGAAATCAGTGTATAATTTCCTCAAAAGACTAGGATTGGAAGTCTCATTTGATCTAACTATGTCACAATTTGCAATAGCCAAATCTTGGAAGCAACCCAAATACCCATCAATTAGGGAATGGATAAAAAAGATATTTTATACAATGGAATACTACTCACTAATAAAGAAGGATAAATGTAGGGCCAGCAAGATAGCTCAATTGACTGAGTGCCTGTTTAGGCTAGCACAGGGAATTGAGTTTGATCCCTGGCATTATATGATGTGCCACCCTTGCTCCTGGGCATGCTGAGCCGGCCACCAAGACTGGGCATGGTGGTGCATGCCTGTATTCTCAATGCTGCAGAGGGTGAAAACAGGATGATCACTACCAGTCTGAGCTGGATAAACACGAGACTTTTATAGGTAAATGGATGCAACATGAGAGTAGATACACGAATGAAATAAACCAGACACACATATACAAACATTGTATTATCTCCCTAGTATGAGAAGATGAAAGAGAAAATAAGATCCAAAGTGTATAATAGATATTATGAAATGGAAGAAATTGTTTAAAAAGAAAGAGAAACTGAGATGGGGAAAAACAAAAGAAGATAAAAGCTATATATATATACATATATATATAATAGTTATGATAGTTATACTACTAATTTCTTTTAGTTTATTGAAAAGAAAGGTTTGTGGTAATATTGTTTGGACAATTAAATGCCTATATTTTGTACTCTGAGTAACTAATTAAAAGATAACAATAGGCCAGTCAAATAGCTCAGCTGATTAAAGCACCTGCAAGCAGGCGCAAGGGCCCAGGATTCATTTCCTGGGGCCTGCTGTGCTGGCCCTGCCCCCGGGGCATGCTGAGACAGCGATTGAGACTGGGCATGGTGGTGCGCACCTGTAATCCCAGCTCTTGGGAGGCTGTAAACAGGCAGATCACTACGAGCCCGATTTAGTCATGAGACCCTGAACACCTTGTAGACCCTTCCCTAAAAAAAAAACAAAACAAAACAGAAAACAATATGTGTGGGCCAGTGAGATAGCTCAGCAGTCTAAAGTGCTTGCTTAGGCAAAGTGCAGGGAGTGCAGTTCATTTCAATGCCCAGCACCACGTGCCACACCAGCACAGCCCCCAGGGCAGCCTGAGACAGCCACAAAAACAAAAACAAAAGCAAAAACACCCCATAATATACGATGTATTAACCATTGTAACCCATCCTATTATCTTGTTTTGAAATTTCATTTTATTTTTTCACTTTAAAATTAAAAAAAGTATGTTTGGAGACTTGGGAAAGGGCCATTAAAAGCAGTACATTAGCACATTCCTGCTGCCTTGAACCACGTGCGGTGCATGCATGGCTGTCATGACTGTTAGCACCTCACAGTCAGCTGGCAGTGCACTACAACCCCATCATGAACATGTTATAGAGGTAAGGAAGAGATACTGCCACACAATTCTTGCGTTTCAGAGAGCAGCCATATGTAATACTGTGCAGGATTGTTGCCTTAGGGGTTCGAATCCTTTGTGATGTCTCCACACGTGACAACATGTGAAATCATGTGCAACTTCACAGTCTGGGCTCTATTTTGTAGTGGGGAGGAAAGGAAGGTGCTGGTTCCACTTCTGGCCTAGAAGTGAAGAGGGAATGCTGTCTCCCATGGCTATTGTTGTTCATGTTAGCTGCTCCTGTCCTACTAGAGCCTGCTTGAGAGTAGGGCTATTTTCTATTTTCTTACCTCATCCTAAATAATCCCTTGTGGGACACTGCAGCAAAAACAGTGAAAATCAAACCTGAATATCAAAATACTGGTGTAGCATGAGAGCCTGGGCCAGGCAATAGGATCCCTGCTGAAATGAGATGGATGTGTGGGTGAAGGGCTGTGGTGAGGGTGTTGTGGAGTTGAGTATCACTAAGCTTGAACAGCATGCTGAGTGTGAAGAGTCAGGCTCTGAGTATGTGAGTGGAACTTGATTGCAGGTGTGTAGGCCCATCACAGCACCTGTGTGGCACCTGGGTATGAGGTGGAGGGTCCATCCTAGCATCTTAGAATGCTGCACTCTGAGGTGAATTTGAGAGATTCTAAAGGGATGTGAAGGGTTTATTTCCCAAGGACTGTGAGAGGCCCAAGAAATATTCCTCATAGCACAAGGATTAGGTGAGACAATATTGGTTGCCTATTGTTGAGTAACATAGTTCTCTAAAATGTAGACACTTAAAACAGTAGCAAGTTTATCATTTCTTGGGATTCTGGATAAGGTATTGTAGGAAAGACTTGTCTCTGTTCTAAATAACTCAAAACAACACAGATGGCTCTAATGAAACCTCAGCTAGGATGCATCTACTAGTTGCATGTGCCCAGGCCTTTCTTTCTCCATGTGTTCTCCACATAAGGTTTCTTTTCAGGACTACCAAAAACTGAAAATCAAGGCTGCCAGCCTTTTAAAAAAATTCTCAGATTTGAAATTGACTGTTGTCATTTCCACCACATTGTTCTTTTGGTTAAATGGAGTCCTGTGGTGCGTGCCTGCAATCCCAGCCCTTGGGAGGCGGTAAACAGGTGGATCACTACGAGTCCGATCTAGTAGTGAGACCCTGAATACCCTGTAGACCCTTCCCTAAAACACACACACACACACACACACACACACACACACACACACAAAGAGTCCCAGTTCCAGGCCAGATTCCTGGGTTGAAGATCATACAAAGTTATGCCACTGGAAGGCATATTTCAATGGAGGGACTGAAATTTGACAAAGCATCTAGGACCTGACTTGTGCACGTTGAGGATGTTCCAGTTCCTAATTCTAGACCTTTTCTACAGAGAATATGCTTGGAGAGCAAATACTGGGGCACAAGGCAATCTCAAAATTGTTCCGCATTATTAAGGGTGGAGGGTACCTCGGATCTGGAACCAGGTCAGTCTGTTATCAAGGGAGGTCTGGCTGGGTGAGTGTTATTAGTCTGCTAGACATTTACTGATATGCTAAGTTCTTAACACAGGTGTTATTTCTTCATTTCAGAGGCTAGAATGGAGCCCTACTTGAGGATCGCCTCTGGCCCCATCTCATGACGCAGCTGAGTCTTTAGGCCCGTTCCAAACCGCAGCTTAAGTTGGGGCTGGTGGGCTAGCGGTGTTCAAGAGGACAATATTGAACTCCTCCGCTTGGCTAGCACAATGGCCAACTCCCAGAGCCAATGGAAGCGGGGTTGGAGGGGTGGAGGGGAAGTACTTCTGCACGGCTCCCTCGCCGCCTCCGCTGGTGTGAAAGCTAGAGCGCCAGGGTTCCTCGGTGGCAAAGCCAAGGTCTCAACAAACGCTAAAGTCAAGGACAGAAACCCAGCCTCCACCTCTCGAAAGCCGGAGGATCTTGTTCTGTGCGCCCCGCCCACGCGCGCGCCAGCCCCGCCCACAGCGCAGCTTGGCCCCGCCCTTTGGATTGGCCGCAAGGGCCACCGTCCGCACAGCCCCGCCCCGCACGGCCAGGCGAAGCGGAGCCGGCCGTGCGGTGTGTGTGTATGTGTTCACGGGGCTCCGTCTCAGCCCCGGGAAGATGGTGGCGGCGGCGGCGGCGACTGAGGCGAGGCTGAGGAGGCGGACGGCGGAGGCTGCAGCGCCCGCGCGGAGGAAGGGCGGGCGGCACCAGGACTGGGACGTGACCGGGGCTGGGAGGCCGGGGCTGGGGGCCGGGCTGCGTCTCCCGCGGCTGCTGTCGCCGGCGTTGCCACCGCGGCGGCTTCTGCTGCTGCTCCTGCTGCTGTTTTTGCTGATGCCTTGGGAGGCCGAGGCCGCGGCGGCCGCCGCAGCAGTGTCGGGCTCAGCCGCAGCTGAGGCGAAGGAATGTGACCGGCCCTGTGTCAACGGCGGCCGCTGCAATCCTGGTACCGGCCTGTGCGTCTGCCCCACCGGCTGGGTGGGCGAGCAATGCCAGCACTGCGGGGGCCGCTTCAGGTGAGTGGGGGGTGGTGTTGGAGGGTCGGGCCCAGCTGGAGGCGGGGGCTGAGGGGCGCCGCTTCACGCCAGAGGCGAAGGCTGGATGCAAAGTGGGAAGTGTAGGGCGGCCCCAGTATGTTTGATGGCCATTTGCTTCCGGAGAGATTATCGTCTCTGGCCAGGGGTCTTACTGTAGTGGAAGCGGAAAGGTGCAAAGCAGGAGTGAGGAGGATACCCCAAATACTTGGGCGCTGCGGGCTAGATTGGAAGAATGCTCAGGGTCTCAGTATCAGTGCCAGTCTCCTAAACTGTGTCTATATCAGATAAGTGAGGTTTTTAAGGGAAAGGTAGGTGAGCCAGTTCTCAAACATTTCCTTTAAACACCTTCTTTGCAACAAGGGCCTGGTGAGTTCTCTGAACTGACTGGAGGAGATAAAAGGTCTTTGAAGAACCGGACTCTGAAAGTGATTTGTTGGCTGAAGATAGAAGGAAGAGGGTAGTATTGTGAAATTTTTAGGGATAGAAGAATCAGCGGTTGTTGGTGAAAAGGAAGTAAGGAAGCTAGTCTTTTAAAGCTCACTGGTGGTGGCATAGTCTTAACTGGGTAGAGCGAATGAAAAAAGATTCCTGTTTTCCCCAATTTTTGGACAATGTAGAATTTTGAGTGGCTTGGTTTGGGGCAATGCCTTTTGAAGAGATCACTTATTAGCAGTTACCTATTACTGTTTCAGTTGTGCAAGGATTTCTGGACCATACAAATAGATTAGCCAGACTTTGGCCTTGTCCACAAGGAGTTTGGAATATAGCAAGAGGAAGATATGTACACAAAAACCCTAGTCATGGGAACTACAGAGTCATCCATGCATTTGGCAGGTATTTCCCGAATATCTTCAACATCTGATGTGAGGGAGTGAGGAAATGTGGTGAACAAGACAGATAGGGCCCCTACTCTCACAGATTTTATGTTCTAGTGGGAATGACAGGCAGTTAATGAGTAAATGAGTAAAAAAAGTGAACAAGACAATTTCAGATATTGGTAAATTCTATCAATAAAACAGGGTGATCTGATAATTATAATCATTCAGTGGCTTTAGAAGAAACCAGTCATTTGAAATGCTATTTGATCTGAGACCTGAATGAAGCTCTGGAGGACCTGTGGATTCTGAGGGTAAAGAGGTGACTGACTTCAGAATACAAGGATGATGTGGAGGGGAAGGTAAGATTGCATTTGAGCATTTGAGGCTACGTAGGTTTTGGAAATGTGGCACTGGGGGAAAAACCCCAAATGGCAGAAAGGATGAAAGGTTGTGGAGATCAGAAAGTAAAGTTTTACTGGTACCTGTGTAGAAGAGAGTTTTGAGGGAGAAGTTTGGAATGATAAAACCATAAGCTCAGGTAATGTCTGATCTTCTAGGGAGCTCAGAGAACATTGAGCAGATGAGTTCTTAGTTTTCTGGATAGAGAAACTAAGTGATTTTTAGGAACAGTGTGTATTTGGCTGGTCTTGTAACTTAGGATATTCTGATTTATGACTTTAATTTTGCTTACAGAGGTAAGACTGTGGAATTGAAGAGCAGGGTACACAGGCCTTAACAGTTTGGAATGGGTGTAAGGCCAGTAATTTAGTAAATGATCTGAAATACTATTGCTACCTGAGTGGTGGGGTGAGGTTGGTGAGTGATTGGATCATGACAGGCTAAAGAAAGGACCCTATGGCTAGAGCAGAGAGAACTAAGGGGAGCATGGCAAGGACACTTCCAAACTAAACATTTGCCAGCATTTTTACCTTTAGCCCACAAGTGGTAGAATGGCACACTTCACTCTTATTTTCATGACATTGTAGGCTTTTAGATTGAAGCCAGAGCAGAAATGGCCTTGAAGATGAGGTTAGAATGCTTTCAGTTTGAAGCACTTCCAAGATTGAGTAGTTGGGTCCCAGGACATTCCTTCAGGTTCTAAAAATCTGGGACACCATGGTAGGCAGAGGTAACCAGTAGGTGGGAAGGAACATTAATAGCAAGATTAGTCTACCTGTAATATTCAGAGTAGGTGGACTCACTTTGGTTGTAAAAGATGGTGAGCAGCTTGGAGGCATGGGTCAAGGTAGCGCAATGACAGCTTGAGAGAAACAGTGGGACTAGAGACAGGGTTAGGTGCTTGCATAGTATCATAGAGGTTGAATGGACAGGTACTACTTTGAAACTGGTTTGCTCTTTGGAAGAGTGAGGGCTGTGGTGAGGGAAAGAAAACTAGATTTGTTTTGCTGATTGAGAGGTGCCACTAGCATACAGGGACATGGGCAGATGGACTGAGACACATTTAATTTTGTACAAACTGTGCTTGAGGTGCTCTCAGGATGTGCACTTGGTTCTTGCAAATGCATCTACAAGGGGGATTGCCAGTGAGAGACTTTTTAAGTATCCACGTAGACAATCTAGAGAATTAGAAAAGAGTCACTTGCAATGGGGTAACTGACACTGCAGACTTTGATTGTCTCAGATGGTGTCATATTACATTGAAGGTGCACCCCAGGCTATTGTGGATACTCCCCTGGAGTTGGTACTAGCAGATGTCAGTGCTGAGGTAATGATGACTAGTCCTAATCACACTATTGTATTAAATAGCTTCTGGAATTTGCATTTAAAAAAATGAAAGCAGGAGCAAGTTATGTCTCTGGCCTTTTTTTTTTTTCCTCCAGTACTGGGGATTGGATCCAAGGAATTGTGCATGCTAGGTGAGTGAACTGCCACTGAGCTATATTCCAATCTCTTAAAATTTTGAGATAGGGTCTTGCTGAGTTAGCCAGGCTGGCTTTGAACTTTTGATCCTCTTGCCTTGGTTCCCCAAGTAATAGGCCTATACTACACTACCATCTGGCTCTAGCCTTTTATTTATTTTTTTTCTAGTCTTTTATAAAAACTTCCAGCTGAGGGTTTTTTTTGGGGGGAGGTGAACAGTGTCTTAGTCACTTTCCTCATCACTGGGACAAAATATTCAACACTTGCAACTAAAAGGAGGACAGATTTATTTTGGCTCTCATTTGGTAGAGGTTTCAGCCCATAGTTTGCTGGCTTCAGGGAAGAAGTGGCATGGTGACAAGGCTCGAACAGAGGAAAGCAGCTCTCCAAATGGTAGACAAGAAGCAGAGTGACAAGGGAGCAGTTAGAAGGGAGATCAGCTTTTGTAGACCATGGCCCCAGTGATCCTTCTAAGACCAAATCCTGCTTCCTAATAGCAATGTAGTGATATCATCCTATAATCTAATCACCTTTTTTTTTTTTTTTTTTTTGGCAGAACCAGGGATTGAACTCAGGCCCTTGTGCTTGCCAGGGAAGCGTTTATTCTACTGAGCCATCTTCCCTCTGCCCACCTTTTTTTTTTTGTTGTTGGTATTGGGAGTCAAACTCAGGATCTTGTTCTTGCTAGGCATGCGGCTATGCCACTGAACTATATCCCTGGCTATTCACCTTTCAAATATAGCCTTTGGAGCCAAGTGTGGTGGCACATGCCTGTAATCCCAGCATTGGGAGGCTGAGGCAGGAGGATCTCTGTGAGTTTGAGGTCAGCCTGGGCCACATAGTTCAAGGCAGCCTAAACTACATCATCAGACCCTGTCTCAAAAAGCCAAATGCCCACCTCCCTCCCAAAACCAACATAAACATATCCTTTGGGGCCATTTTTTGGATTTAAACCATAATGTTCTGCCTCTGGCCCCCCAAAGTCTCATGTGCATCTTTTTAATGCAAGATGCATTTGGTTCCTCTTTAAGAGTTGCTAAAGTTTAAAGACCCACTATTGCTGAAAGTACAAGTCCAAAGACTCCTCTGAGACTTAAGGTAAACTCTTTTAATTGTGAACCCTATAAACATAAAAAGAAAGTTAAACACTTTCAAGACACAGTGGCACAAGATAAACATTTCTTTTTCAAAGGGGAAGTACAGGGCAACAGGGAAAGAAATCAGACCAAAATAAGACTGAAACCGAGCAGAGAAAACATGATCAAATCCTGTAGTTCCATCCATGTCCAGTGCCTGGGGCAAGTTGTGGTGTGGTGTGAATCCCAGATGGCTTGGGTGGCCCTGCCCCTACAGCATTGCTGGTGGTTATAGCTCTCTTGGCTTCTCTCTTAGGCTGGCTTTACTCAGTTCTTGCAGTTTTCCTCTTATATTCCATGTTCCTGGCTTATCTGAATTTCTGGGTCTATACTTTCGGCTTCACCCTCACAAGCTTCACACATTGGCCTCTCAGAGGCACACTGCCTGGGCTTTCAGGTCTTCTGAAATCTTGGTAGAAGCCTTCCTCAGCCCACAACTTTCATATTCTGCATGCCTATAAAACTAGTACCACGTGGATGACACCAAGGTCCACCATTTGCTCCAGCAGTAACCAGACCCCCTTGAATCGTGACTGCAGAAGTTTCCAAGTACATGGATGGCTGAGTACTGTGAAAGAAATCCCAGGTAACAAATTCCCTTGATGGCCTTTTCCAAGCAGTGTAATTCTGGGGCTTCCTTCTCAAAGCAAGGTTTTTCACTTTTTCACCCTTAAGTCTGCAAAGGGTAACAATCTTTTGGATTCATTTTGTGGCTATCTTTTGGAGCATCCTTTGTATTGTGCTGATGTGTTGTAGTGTAGTTTGCTTGTTCTAATTATTAATGTTTTCAGTAATTAAACTATCCTTTGCTCTGGCTTTATAGGTCCCAACTCAATAGGAAATTCCTTTATTTTTATAGTTTTTTGAGCCAGGGTCTTGCTACATAGTGTAGGCTGGCCTTATACTCACTATGTAGCCCAGACTGGCCTCAAACTTGTGCCAATCCTCTGCCTTTTTCCTGAATGCTGGGATTATAGGTATGTGCCACCTGCCTGGCAGAAACTTCCTGTTCGATGAAACTAAAACTTTTAAAATTTAAAGCACTCCACAATGCCATTTGCTTTTGATTCTCAATACAGAACTGGGCAAAAGCCCCAGTAGTACCCATGGCACAGCCTTAACATTAAGCTGCCTTAAAATTTTCTTCACCAGATTAATTTGGCTATTGCCCTTAATCTCCATCTTCTGCAAAGTTTTATGACATGAGCAAAATGTAGATAAGTTTTCTTCTAGGACATCCATGTGTACATGGATGGCCTGGAGTCCAGCTGACAGTAGAGTCCTTGCTTAGCCTTGTCTTTATCATCTGTCTTTTTATCAGTATTCTGGTTGAATTCTGGCCAAAATTTCCTATCAAGCTTGGTTTACAGCATTCTAGGGCTGCTTTTCCAGCTGGCATTAAAATCTCTCTCCCAATTTGGTTCTAAAGGTTTCTGAACCACATAATCACCACATGTCCACAGCAACAACCCCAACCCTGGTACCAGAGCCTGCAACTAAAGAGAGAGGTTTATTGTGTCTCACAGTTAGTAGAGGTTTCAGTCTAGTCTCCAGGACAGAAGTGGATGATGGAAGGATCTGAGTAGAGGAAAGCAGTTCACTGCATGGTAGACAGGAAGCAGAACGACGGGAGGAGCTTTCCAGACCATTACCTCTGTGACACTTTCCTGCAGTTACCATTGCTCCAACAGCTATACAGCTGTACCCCAAAATCCAATTACCTTCCAAACACAGGAGACTTTGGACAACAGCATCTTAAAGAGTTGAATGTTACTTTTGATTATAATGCTATGTGTCTTAATTTATCTCAATTTATAAACTTCTTTGCTATTGAAACTAAAAGATCTCAGATGAGGACCTTTCTGCTTTAGAATTGTATCTAGTTGGAGTGTGTGTGTGTGTGTGTGTTTTTAAGCTTTTAAATTCTATTATAGTTCTTTTTCATCATTTGGAGTTAGGATAAGAGATTTCGCTGAAGTCGTGTATTTTTTTTTTTCACTGAAGTTATTTCATTGAAGTTATCACTGAGTGATGTATTTCTTTCTTTCTTTCTTTTTTTTTTTTGAGGAACCGGGGATTGAACTCAGGCCTTTGCAC